CATCAGGGAGGATGTGGAGCAGTTGTTATCCTCTCATGAGAACTGTAAATCTGTGGTACAAAAGAAGCAGGAGCAGCTGGCTCAGGCAGACACCTGCTGGAAGGCCTTCCTGGAGAAGGAGGAGAAGGTTCTTCAACAGCTGGCAGCTTTGGAGGAGAAGTTACAGGTGCATGGTGCAATGGAACCAACCAACAAAAATATCAAGGCACAGCTTAAGGGCTGTGAGGTGAGGATACACAATTTTGGCAAATCATGTCAGCAATATTAGATAGAGAATGAAATAATGTCTTCTCAGTCATTCATTCTTTCTCACTCAGTCTTTTGTTTGTTTATTAATAAGGTTATCACAGGAAATTTCTTACTCAGTGACTATTCCTTTTATAGAAACTTCTAGAGGAGCTGAAAAGTTGCAATCAAGACTTGACCTCACTGAAGAGCAGAGGTAGTGAGGTGACTTCACTGGACCCCAGGAAGGATCCACTTGTACAGGAACACATACATAACACGACTGGCAAAGCTCAACATGTCCAGGTGAACTAAAAAGTATACTCAGTATCTAAGGAAAGGAACAGAATAAGTGGTGCTGAATACTACCATACAAAGATTTGGAAAGTGTGTAGATCTGCAAGACATTATTTTCAGGTTCAATTTGAATCTTATGTACATGTACATGTATGTATTGTTCATCTTGTCTTTATGTCCATATCTAGGAGTTGCTGGGCCAGAGGCAGGCATCCTGCCACAGCCTGTTGGAACTGTTTGCTCAGTACCAGAAGTGCAAGTCAGCTGTGGATGAGATGGTGCAGGGCATCAGTCGCACAGCCTCTGTGGGAACAGGTCTGCTCAGAGAGGAGGATGTCAGCAGACAACTTCGAAAATTGGAGGTCAGTATTTAGATGTAAAATGCTCATAAGTTTAAATAAATTTTTCAGTCATTCAGATTTCCTCTCCAGAAGTAAACATGATTGGACAATTTCCCTGGTCTCCTTGATAAGAGTGGTTCAAGAATACCTGCTAAATGTGTTCCATCCACAGGAAGCTGAATCCACCTTAACAAAGCAACAGGCCCTTCTGGATGACTTGACTACAAACGGTAACCTTCTGATGCGACAACTGAGGGCCACAGAACACTACAAACCCGAGGGTGTGAAGACAAGCCTGGATGCATCCATTGAAAGCTGGCTGGACTTAGGCCAAAAAGTTCAGCAGCAGAAGGAGTCCCTGACCACCCAGCTGAAGCTGTGGGAAGAGATCAATGCAAGCACACAGGACTTTGACCAGTGGTTGGCAGGACCTGTGTCTGAGCTCAAGGCTGAAGTCACCAACTTTAAGGACAGTGGGAGAGTGAAGTCCAAACTAGAGCTGTTCCAGGTCAGTCAGCTCCATTCATTGTTTGAGTTTGAGTGCTGAACTGATGCCAAATCCTTTCGTTTCCAATCATTTAAAATCTGTCATACATTCACTATTGAGTAGTCAAATTGCTGTTCTTGTGTCTAACTGGTCATACTTAATCCATGATTGTGTTATAATTCTAGGATGACCTTCACAACCATGAGAAACAGTTTGAAAATTTGAAGAAAAAGGTGTCATCCCTGGAGAGCATCTGTGGCAGGGAGTCATCAGATGTACACAACACACTGGACCACATTTCATCAGAGCTAAACAAGGCCAGGAAACTGGCTTCTGATGGACAGGCAGTGCTGCAGGACTTCAGTGGACAACAGGAGGCACTGCAGAAGCAGGTAAACTGAGCTTCATCATCCAACATTTGTTTGTAAGATGTCAGTCTTTTACACTTCATCCAGGAACAGATATTGTACATCGGAACACAGACTAAAGCAATGGATCTGTTATCATCCAATATGGAGCATTAACTGTGGATACCAATAACTCAACAATACATTCTGTACATTTATCAGGTGGATGGTTTGCTAGCCTGGCTGCAGACAGTGGAACTGAAACTGTCAAAATGTGATGATAACTCAGGTAGTGATGCTCACATCTCAGGCCTCATCAAACAGTGCAAGGTAAGATATCTTCATTTTTTTTCAGTTCAATCCACATCTGTTTTAAGATTTAGAAACCTGCTTTACAGTGCTGTGAACATAATTGTGAACATTAATAGAGCACAATGTGTATTACTCAAAGGCATCTCACCAAATGTCTACAGTACCTAATGTCTCAAGCATGTAATGCATATGCAAACAGAAACATAACATTGTCAAACTACCGTCAACTGAATACTAAAGCATTCACTTCTTCAACAGGACATAGCGGCAGAGCTGCAGTCACGACAAAGTGATGTGGAGGCTGCCAGTGAAAAGTTGAATGTCATCTGCAGAAAGTACCAATCCTCTGATCTGGAGCCATTGACACAAGGTGTGTCCAGTGTCAGAACAAGGTATGATTCTGCCTGCTCATCAGCTGAAAAAGTGCAGGGACACCTGGAGCACACCCTGGATCAGAGGTTTAATACAACTGTGGAGGATCTGCACACCTGGCTAAATCCTTACAAGGATACTGTGGCTGGATGCACAGAGCCAACAGGAGAACAGGCAGATATTGAAAACAAACTACACCAGATACAGGTACATATATGGCACAGTATAATTTCACTGTTCTTTTGCAAGTCAATATGATTTGAAATTTTCATATAATTATGAGTTTTGATGTCTGTGATGACGGAATTCTGTTTAATAACAAGTAAAAGAATTTAAGGATTAGAGCGTTGTTTTAATTCTATCAATTAAACAAAGCTGTAATGTTGACATTTTTCCCTCAGGATGTTTTGTCCAAGGTCAGTGCAGAGGAACACAAGCTGGTTGCTGCTGGACAACAAGGAAAGTGTCTTTCTGATGTTTTGCCATCAACAAGCACAGACAGCATCTCTCACCAGCTCACCTCTGTTAGGCAGGAATGGGAAACACTCATCAACATGGCAAAACGGTATTATGTTGAAATTTTGCAAAATTTCCTGATGTCTACAACATGCATAGTACATGTATTCTTTACCGTGTGTTTTACAAGAAACTGATGGAGGTAAATGGCAAAACATAAAAATAAATGGCTGCACATATAAGCAACTAACCAAGGCATTACAAGTTTATCAAACATTAACTTCTATCTTATTGCAACAAAAGGTCCAAGGCATCCCTGGAGGAATCCCTGTTCCAACATAAGGACTTTGAAGAGAAGCTGCAGAAGTTTGACAAATGGCTGGAGGAAGTTGAAGCTACTGTAGGGACTGAGTTTTCACTGAAGGCTGACCTAGCCTTGAAGAAGTCACAGGCACAAAGGTATCATTTCAAGATGAACAGTCTTGATCTGTTATTTCTATTCCTTCCTGTTTGCGTCTATTAGACAAATATACTCAACCTGTCATTGACAATGATACTTAAAAAAACTTTTTATATGACTTTTCTTACTTTATTTGTCAATGTAGACAGCAGTACACTAACTACATGTATTTGCTGATTTAACTTTAGCATTCCAAACATCATACCCTGATAATTCAACAAACTTTAAGGTGTTTTTCTCAACTGACATTTACTGACTCAATATTGTGTAGATTCCAGCATATTCAGCAGGATGTGGCTGACCATGCTGCTGCTCTGAGTGGCCTGAAGGAACAGGCACTAGAACTCGGTAACAAAGACAGCCATGATAACAACCTGGCCAGGAAAGTCAGCCTGCTGTCAGGACGGTACCAGGGCCTCACCAATGCAGTCAAGGTGATTTCAGATCATACCAGTATTATTTAGCTAGTAATGGAAATTTACCCTGAGAAAGAAATTTGTTGGAGAAGTTTCCATGCAATGGAAAAACATTTACTGCTTTATCATTTCTAAACTTTTCGCGTGTGGTACATTACATAAGGAATCATTGTTTTTAATAATTAACTTGTACACAAAATGCTAACTTGTCATCATTGTTTCTCGTAGATGCTATAACATGTTGTCTTGCTTTGTAGGACATCCTGAGCCAATGTGGTCAACAGGTGAGCCAACATGAGGAGTATCATCAAGGCTTACAGGAGGCTCAGGACTGGCTGGAAGGTTCAAAGGACCAGCTGACATCACTGGCCAAGACATCAGGCTCCAGGGAGCAGATTGAGAAAAGACTGGCAGACGTGCAGGTAGGATAATTAAAGGCTGTCCTCAAGTAATATCACAAAGAGAATGAACGAATTGAAAAGCATATTGAATAGATCATGAAATGCATTGAATAGATTTTATTGCTTTAGACATTCTGCCTTTTTATCAGGTCATGGTTATGGAAATAATATAACCCTGTATTTCAGCTGCTGCTGGCATCTAAACAGCAGGGTGAGCTGAAGTTGAACATGGCAGTGGGACTCGGTGAGAAAACCATGCAGAATACAGCCGCTGAAGGCAGGAGCATCATACAGCAGAAGCTGGAGTCTCTTAGGAAGGATTGGCAGGCATTCAGCAGTTCTGCTTCTGAGGTGATTACATCATTCTTTTACATATCACTGATTCATTTCACTGAGATAATGTGGACACATACATTTTGTCTTTAGGCTATTTTTGTACACATTTAGGACGTAAATTTTTCCATTTTTAGACCAAGGCTAGTCTGGAAAATAGCCTCCTACAGTGGGGCAGCTACCAGGAGAGTTTGGATCAGCTGACAAATTGGCTGCATCAGACAGAGTCTACTCTGGACAAAGACCTACCTCTTGTAGCTGACCTAAAAGAGAAGAGAGCTCAACTAAATAAACAACAGGTAATGTATCACCTTTAGATCTGTAGTTTTTACTCACCATGATAGTAGAAGTCTTTACATGGATGAACAAGTCATATACCATTATCTGAAATCTTCAATTCTCTACTCACATTGATCAGGGATCCTCCCATCCAAGCAAAAAACTGGCTTTTAGTAAAGTCTTTGTCATCCTGCAGGCCATTCATCAGGACATAGTGACCCACCAGTCTCTGCTGGAGAAGGTGGTGGAGAAGGCTGGTCAGGTCACATCAGACAGTGATGTCAGTGACATTAGGGAACACTATGCAGAACTGCTAACTAAGGCACAGGTACATAGTAGAAAGTAGTATCATTTTAATGAAGATATTGATAAGTGTTTGTGCTATCATGTGTCATAAATGTGCTGGACTGCCTTCATGACAAAGTACACTGTCCTGCCCTGTCTACATTCATGAACAAACCAAGAACTTGTAGCACCAAAGTAAAATAATAAATTCTTACAAATGATTGCCTTGATTCTCCTGACATAGGATCGTATCAGCCACATGGAAAGTGTAGTGTCAGACCACCAGCAGTACCAGGAAGCCATGCAGTCCTTCCGAATTTGGTTCAGCCCAGCACAGGAGGAGCTGCGTGGCTGTGCTGAGCCCTGCACTGAAAGAGCAGCCACTCAGACTAAGCTGAAGAAACTGCAGGTAACCCGTCAGAACAAGTTGTTGACTATGTTGATATGAGTTGACAATATTGTGATATTCATACCATGCAAGTGTGTAAATTGAACAAACTAGAAATACATATCTATTGCACATGTCCATCTAGGAGCTGCGGTCCTATGTCACGACTGGCAAGTCCAAGGTGGAACACCTGTCATCCCTGGGTGACCAGACTCTGCTCAACACCTCCCAGCCAGGGGTCAAACACATCCAGCTGGAGATCAAAACAGCACACAGGGACAGAGATGAGTTCTCCAGAGACATCGGGAAACTCTCTGCTGACCTGGAGGTCTTATTGGGAGAGTGGAAAAGGTACTCCTTCCCAACTCTGATGATACTGGTCTTATGAATGATGTGTTCATGTTGATTCCTGTCTAACAAAAGAAGCAAATGCTGTATGTGTCATTTCTAAATTTTATTTTGTAAATCAAGTCAGATTCATCATTTCATATTAATGACGAATAAAAATGTATGTCTTCATGATACATGATAATTTTATGTCTCTGTAAAAGGACATGATGCTGTTAGGACAATGTATCTACAAGGTTTTGATCATTTTGATACAGGTATGAGGAAATGGAGAAAGAGCTAACAACATGGCTGGCAAACATGGAGTCAACCCTGAAGGCTGAGGTTCCCCTTGTGTCAACTGTACAAGAGAAGAAAGAACAACTTGCTAAGTACAAGGTACAGATAGAATTGTTGAGGCTAACCCTGGTCAACGGTACATTTACATGTACATTTCATGGTACATTTAGGAATTCAATTGTACATTTATATTTATGTATATGTGAGGCTTGTTAACCATGATAAGACTTTCAAAGTGTTGATTGGTAAGTGCTGAATATAGATGAATGAAAACAAGGTGGCATTTATTGGACACCACCTTAAAGAGGTGCTCTATGTAACTACTGTTTTAACTCTCCACCCATTAATTAGTCTTACCATGATGAAGTGATGAAGAGGAAGACTGCCATAGAGGCCCTGAGTAAGCAGGCTACAGCAGTGATGGGTCACCAGGCAGCAAATGTCAGCTTGGGGTCACAGGTCACCAACATCACTTCACACTTCCAGTCTCTCACCATCATCAGCAAGGTGAGTATCTGGATTGTTGTATAAAATGATCTGTTTTTCTTGTTAGGACACCACAATGGTCATGAATGTATATAATGAAAATTAATGTAGTCATCTTACAGACTTAATTGTTTATTCCATCAGGATCTGGTGAAAAAGCTGGACCAGACAGTGACAGATCATGAACAGTTTGAAGTGACCCTTAAGTCCACCTCACATTGGATCAGCCAGCTGAGTCAAGAGATACAACGCTGTAAATCAAACACAACACAACCACTGGAGACCAGGATCAAAACTCTCAAGGTAGGAAAAGTCATTTTCTTCTCCAAAGTTGAGTCAAGATCTACATGTATAAGGTAGTCCTGTAACAACCAAGGTAAATACTTGTCATTTGACTAAAACAGTGCCATGTTTTATACCCTAGGACCTGGGAACTACAATCCAAGACGGGAAATCCAAACTGAAGGCAGCCTCAGACAAGACAGAGAAAGTCCTGTCCACTACAGCAGCCCATGGCCACAAGCACATCATCCAGGAGGTGGAGAGGCTGAGGAAGGAGTACGAGCAACTTGATACTTCCCTGCAGGAACTACAGACTTCAGTGGACTCAGAGGTCCATCAGCAACAGGAGCATGCCGAGGCTGTGGAAGTCTTCTCCACCTGGCTGAAGGACTTGGAGTCCAAACTGTCAGCTGATGTGGAGGTGGGAGCACGGCTGGGAGAGAAGAAGTCACAATTAGAGAAGTACCAGGTATGATTATTGTGAAAATCTCAACTGTCTCTCTTGGTTATGGCTTACATGTAGTTTCTGCAAAGCTTTTAAAGGCATTTTGACCTTTTTTGCCAAAAGTAACAGGCAGAACTGATGTTTGAAAAACTTCAGCTAAAAAGTAACAGTACATTTTGATTGATAGACGAACAGCTCATGTCATATATCTATGTCCTCTCACAGGCTCTTCAGTCAGAGGTGTTGCAGAAGCAGTCAGTCCTGGATGACCTGAAACAGCAAGCGGCACAGCTGAAGGAGCGGGGAGGACAGGAGTCAGCCAGTCTGGGCCAGCTGGAGAGGAGGTTCACCATCATCATCACCAGGCTGGAGGAGATCATCACCATGTTTGTCAAGGTCACCACAACGCATACGGAGTATCAGGGCAAGGTATCTATTAGCATTCTCTTTGTATCTCCATTGATATTTTATCCTCTGTGGCTCATTGTATTAACTGCTTCATGGCTTGTGATAAAGATGACCACTGTTTGATTATGAATATGTGTTGCTGTTAAAGTGTTGCATCATAATTTCCTACTGTTCAGTTAGTTGTCAAATTATTTTGCCCTTCCAGGTGCAGGAAGCAGAGAAGTGGCTGATGCTGATGTCCAATAAAGTGATGTCAGAAGGCAGCAGTCAGCCAGCCAGCCTGGAGAGGGCACAGCAGGAGCACCAGCAGCACAAGGTAGGGTTCCTGATAGGTGCATTACTACTTCAACATGATGATATTATTAATTAAGGAATGACATAAGTTTTGATACTGTTGATAAGTGTAGAGATGAAGCTCAAAACTTTAAACTGTGAATTCATAGCATATTTAGTGGCAGTGTTGTTAAAATCCCACCACATTCAACCTGATTGTTCCTTGACTGTGATGTTTGATGTGTTGTCTGTGTTTTGTTTCTTACTTGTACAGTGTCTGTCTAGCACAAGCTGTTGATTTTTCATCAGTTGTCCTGCCCTTAATGATATCAGCTTTTGAAGTTTTGAACACAGCAAGCTTAAATTTAGTTTATACAGAACTAGCAAGATTGTAGTGTATCTGTGTTGCTTTAGGTAGCCACAAGTATCTACAAGTATAAGCTTGGCTGTGTCTCATAAATCACATTTCATGCACTGCTTTTCCATCCGCCTGCACCACTCCCATCACCTAGGCTGTGATGCAGGAGGTAGAGGCTTTCCAGTCTAACATAGACAGCATCAGAGACACCGGCAAACAGCTTACCTCACCTCACATCCCCATGGCCGATGTAGCCAGGGCCAAACTCAAGAAAAAGGTATTTGCTAACTTCATGTAACTGAATTGTAATGCCTCTGTGTCTGTATTTAAATTGTGTCTTCTTCATTTCCAACTGCTGTTCTTGAGAAGGCCAATAACTACATACAGGCTATAGTAATACATGTAGATGGTCTGCAACAGGTTACTGAAGTCTTTCTAGAAGGACGAAGTAGATGCCTTCCTACAGAGGTTTGAAAGATTTGCCAGCTCCAACGGCTGGAGGGAGGAGGTCTGGGCCTCCAACCTAAGCGCGCTGTTAACTGGGAAGGCACTCGAAGTATATTCGAGGCTCAGTAACGAAGACGCCCAAGACTACGACAAAGTGAAGGTGGCATTGTTGAAACGGTACAATCTAACTGAGGATGGCTTCCGCAACAAGTTCCGACAGAACAAGCCGGACAAAGGAGAAAGTCCAGAGCAGTTCCTGGTACGCCTGACCAGTTACCTGGACCGGTGGGTGGAGTTATCCAAGACGACGAAGGATTACGAGTCGCTTCGTGATTTGTTTGTGAAAGAGCAGTTTATGGAAGCCTGCCCACCAGACCTGGCAATACACCTCAGAGAGCGAAATCCAGATAGTCTGGTGGAGCTGGCAGAGGTGGCTCAACATTACCTGACCGCCCACAAGAAGGAGCTTTCCAGCAGGGAGGAAGAAGAAAAGGGGAAAAAGACACCACAAAGCCGTGGTCGCCCACAACCTTGGACAGCGCGCGGGAATGGTACCTGCTATACATGTGGTGACCCTGGCCATTTCGCAAGGGACTGCCCTGTGACTAAAGAGGCACAACCATCCGGGGCTAGATCCTTCTTCACGGGCACGAGGACCCGGCAACAGGCAACCTTCGTCATCGGGGGCCAGGTAGAGGGAAGGACAGTACCACTGTTGCTGGACACTGGGAGCGCCCAGACCTTAGTCCGAGAAGACCTCGTGGACGCAAGGAAGCTCACCGATGATCAAGATGGAATCACCTGCGTCCATGGGGACGAAAGAAAATACCCCACCGCGCAGATAGACATCCGGATTGGCCACCGAAGTTACCGGATCAAGGCTAAGGTTACCCCAAACCTGCCGCGCCCTGCCATTGTGGGACGAGATGTCCCGCATCTGGCTGAACTCGTACAACTGTGTGCGTCCGGGAAACTGACACGGGAATCGTTCGTGTCAGAGGATGAGCCGAGTCACAGAGTCCGAACTTTAACTGTTTAATCAACTTCCTATCCTAAGACAGCCACCACCAGGACCTCCCTCTCTAGGTCTCCACTCTAGACTGACCTCGCCTTCACATTCTTGGGCCAAACTGGTACAAACGATTGGATCCCATCACATGTATCAATTTCTCTCTATAATGACATGGTAGAGTGACATTTGACGTATTACCTGCTTACAGAATAATTCATATTGTATGTTGTCAAGAACTAACTAAGTCTTTTGCAATAGGTCTCCTCTCAGGTAGATACTCTACAGTCCAGCTATAGTTCTGTGAAGACTGCAGGTCAACAGGTGCAGCAACAGCTGGATGCTGCTGTTCTAAAACATGAGCAGCTACAGGAGTCTTTACAGGTGGGCACTATTGTGAAAGTTTACAATATGCAGATAAATGAATAATTTTTTTACATTGAAACATATTTCCACTGCTTTTCAATTCAGGGAGAATTACAATGAGCTATTTGTTTAAAGCTGCATGTGTAGATAGGCTTTGTTTTTGTGCTGAAAATTACTCAGTAGCTGTCAGTGTGAATGTTTTTATGACTTAATAACATACATGTACATCAAGAACTTATCTTATACTTAACCCATTTTATCACAGATTAAAAAGGGCTTTTTCAGTAGCTTTGGGTTAACTAACCAATCTACTTGTACTGAACTGCTAGGCTGCAGATGAGTGGCTAAAGGAAGCTATAACTGCTGTACAAGGGCAAGAGCCAAGCCATGCTTCAAGTCTGGAGGAAGCCCAGAAAATACTTGCAGAGCAAAAGGTATTGAAACATCAGTACTTTTGATGCTAAAATTCTTCCTTTCCAAAATCATGTTGCATACCACTGCATATATTTGAGTTTTTGCAGTTACTTATCATCTGACTTGCAACTCTAGGTCATGCTTGAGAAGACAAAGGCAACAGAATCCTCCATATCTGCTCTGTCAGAAGACACTGGTGATTACACAGATGGCAGCACTCCTCTGCAGGGCAGGCTGGAAGAAGCAACAGAACAGGTAGGCATGAGGATATATCCCCACTGCCCACACATTTCGTCTTCTTTTTGCTACTGATTTCTGTAGTGCTGTACACTGCTGAAAATGTGTTATACGGGATGTCTTTAAATATTGAAGTTCACCATGTTCAAGATTTTTTTTAAATTTCTCCCCACCCATAGCTGCAGCACAGGGTTACAGTAGCCTCTGACCTGGTGACTGAGTGGGAGGGGCTGGAGAAGACCAAGGGCAAGCTTCACTCCTTCCTGCAGGAGGCAGAGAAAAACCTCACTCAGCTGAAGGGAAAACCAGCTGAACTCAGCATCAATAGAGCAAAGATACAGTCCAGTCAAATACAGGTTAGTATTGGGAACTACTTTGTTATGTGTAAAATCTCTTGTTTGAATATGAAAAGGATTCCTTGTATGGATGATTTTAATTGGTATTTTGTCTCTATTAGATTACCAGTTGCACAAGGCAAAACTGATGTATTTGGTACTAGAATCCTGCCTGATTTGGATGCACTCGCTGAACATATTTTACCCACTTATGTTATTATAGGAACTGGCAGAGGAGGTGAAATCAAAGGAGACCTTTTTGAAAGCTCTTGAGCAGAAATTCATCAGCCTTTCAGGAGACACTCCTGATGTCAAAGATCCAGTGATTTCAGAACTGGCAGAACAGTTGGATCAACTGTGTACCAACACAGCAGCCCTCCAGGTCAGTACATGATGCTCTTTTGGACAGCTTGATACACTGTTTTTGTCTGTGATATTTGACGACTCTCAAACTTGGTTAACTAAGATGTCATGAAAGTTTATACTATTAGACTCAGAGACCTTGGAAGTTGTCTAGCTCATAATAGTCTCACTTTATGAATTCTTAACAGGGTTTTATTTATCCTAGCATACACATGTACATGTATGGTGTTTGTACCAAATGTGGATAACAAGACAAAATGGGTTTACATAGTCAGATGTAAGTATTTGTTTCTCTGCTACACCAGGCCCAGAGAGATGGTGAACTGAAGGCAGCAGAGGAATACCAGGATGCCCGGGAACAGCTGAGCTCCCAGCTAGACCAGTACCAGGCCAACCTGGCACAGCTGGACCAGGACAGGGACAGCAGCACTCCTGTCAGGCTGGACAAGGCCAAGGTACGGGATTTGCGACCGTTTTTCTGGTCAAAAATATGATTTACAGTTGGATAAACTTGGAAGGAAGATTCTATCGTTTTCTTCAAACATGACTTGTGTTGATTAAATCTCTGCTTATTTGACCGTAGCATCTGGTGGCAGACCTAGAGCACCATAAAGTTACCATTGAGGAGCTGAGAGCCCGGGGGAAGGACATGTCGGCAGCACTGACAGTCAATGATCAAAAACTACTGCAAGACCATGTCAGGTATGTTGCATGTAACAATTTCCCTTTGGTGTTGTTGTCACAAAAAGTATTCTTAGACTTGTATCTGTATGTAAACTTTGGAGATTGACAAATGTTCTGATTAAATCAGGTCCACACAGTTATATTTGGTTTATCTTGCGCATTCCATTTTAATCCTGATATGGTTGTGAGCAAAACTGTGATATACTTTATCTACCACTGTCAGCATTCTGGAAGAGCACCTTGGACGACTGCTGAAGGTTGCCCAATCCCAGCAGTCCCAGCTGCAGACAGCCCTGGAACACTTCAGTGGTGCCCAGTTCCAGACTGCAGGCACCCAGACATGGCTGCAGACCATGCAGGGGAGGGTCGCAGCACCAGTGGTGCTCAAACTGGATGTGCAAGAAGCACAAAAACAGCTGGAGCAGTACTCTGTATGTCCTGGAATTTAATTATGTTTGCATTTTAATGATTATCTTATCACATTCCAAATTTGCTGTTGAGTAAAAAAATGTTATGATTTTTAATCAAACTGACACATCTTTGTATAACTTTGTTATTGCTGTTGTATAACCAAAGGATTTAAGCAAAAGATGCCCCATGGTGCTGAAATGCCATCCAGTTGTAGCCGACAAGCCATAGTTGCGTGTTCCTCTTCATATCTCAGTGAACATCACCAATTTCCTGAAGAAAAAAAAAGCTAGTCTTAAAGGAAATTTGAAGTGTTTTGATCACTGAACAGCCATTCACTACATGGGAATGTCTGGAAAAATTGCTGTGAAAAGTATTTCTTTGTTTCCATGATGAGGATGCAGTAATTTATCAGATAAGAATCTGGAATGTTTGCTGCTCCTGTAACACAGGGCCTATGTAAGGAGATAGATGAAAGAAAGGACAGCCTGGCCTCCATGCAAACCTTTGTTGAGGAACTCTTGCCAAATCTGGGCAAGGCAGAGAGAAAAGACCTGGAGGACAAACTGCAGAGTATCCAGCAACAGTACACTCAGGTGTGTGCCTCTTTTCTTGTTTTGTGTGGTGTAATCCTTGAAATTTGTTAGTCTATCATTGATCATGGATACTGTGCAGCCCAATGCAGTTTGTTTTCGAAGATAAGCACAGTTTTGAATCATTCCTATAGAAAATAATGAATTTGCTACTCGTGGGATAGCATGGCTGAACATTTTTGACTGGCTGCAACATTGTCAAGCCATGGCCTGGACACCAAACAAGTTTTTGTATGGAAATTCCTAAAGTGGACCTTAAAGTATGGCTGTTGTACAAATTTATCTGTTCATCACTTAGTATGAGTATCAGTGGGGTCAGTTTATGTCATGCAAGAATATTGTTGACAGGTCTGCTAAGTATTTTGAATTTGCCAGGTATGATATGTGTTGACAAAGCAGCATGCAGGGCTGGCCTAAATTGTTAAAATCAAAGATTAGATCACCATATTACAATGATTGAGTATCAGTAGTCTTGTTTTGTAAGTAAGTCACATAATGTTGAGATAGTGTATTAAACCATTTCCTCCACTATCAATTTGCAAATAGCTGTTATCAAAATGAAAAAAAAACAGTAGCATCAGCATGTGAAAGCTGTGAAGGTCATTTCAGACAATACGTAGTCATCTATGATACTATTGTTGCTTTGGGAAATCAGTGAAGAACAAGTTTTTCATCAATTGTATTCATTTACAGTGCTCTTAGGTCATGTTGACTTACCAGACCTCATACGTTACCTTCCATTCAATCAGATGGCTGTTTTGATTAAACATCAGACTTGTATTGAGTTTATCCACATACATGTACAGTACTTGTATTTTTTTAATGAACAAGGGATATTTTTGTGGAAAGAATTTAGTTTTGGAGACAAGACACACTGTAGTTGCTCTGTATGTAATCATCATGTGTGGTATATTTTTTCCATTCTTCATATTATGGACACCTTTACAACTGTGTATTCTATTATGCTCATTATTGATTGATTCTGTGATTGGTGAGGTTACATTGTATGATACCATTGTGAAATCCATCCATAACAGTTACTGTCTTCATACTGAGTTTCTAGTCGGATAGTAACAAGCAATGCATAGAATTTGTTTATCTTGACTAAACATAATTGTCTGATATATATGCTGCTGTCAGATTTAGTTATTCTAGCCATCTCCCATTATCTATTGTATAATGTCCCTAACTGGACATTTGTTCCACAAATGAGAATCACTACATCAATAACTATTGATTTTATCCCGGTATTAGGGTGCAATATCATTGATCTCATTCACCCTCTTGCTAGTCAATTACTTCAAAATTGAGTTTCGTGCCTGGGCAGTGAGTTGGGCTGAGATTCCATCCTGAAGCTGTATGCCAATGTCTAGATTTTTGGCCAGCACTGTCAGAACATATTGTTTGACAAATGAATCTGTTCTTGTTATGACATCCTCACTCAAGTTTGAAGTTCAGTAGCCCCTGAAGATCCTGCCTGTCTGACCTGTATGTGACGTAGTGGCTTGTTGTTAGCATGGATTCAAGGTCACTGCTATAAGGTGGTGATGGTTGTTGAGGGACAGCTGGCCATGGGGAATAAGAGTTCTTGTAACTGCATTGATGCCCAGTTGGAGAAGGATGCCAAGGGGCGGCGGCAGGCGCTGGGAAAAGGCGTTTCTGAGCGGCGGGAGCTTCTGTCAGAGCTGGAGCAGTGCCAAACATGGCTGGAACAGACGGACAAGAAGGTGCAAACCCTGGTGGAGGATCCCGTCGCTCTACAGCCCCACGGTGTGCAGAAACAGATTAATTCCTGCAAGGTACGGAATGGTTTTGTGTTCCTATGATTGGGGTTTTTACTGGTGTGACCTTAGCTACTGCTGTATTGCCCCAAGTATCCAAAATATCCCAAGCATGATGATCGATGTCAGGGTCAGGATAAAGTAAGTCATGTGGAACAGATACAATATATCTAACCTGCGCAAATGGGATAGCATGGTTGTGATAGATGGATGGGTTATTAGGCCTAGATGGGTTGTCACTTCTTCTGGTATTTTTGTCTTATACTTTTGATAGTAAACAGCGTGTCAATTTTAAATTCCCCAATTGTAGTGTTCTATTAGGACATTATTGGTAAAAGAGCACATTAGATTACTGGCCAATTTCTCTATTAATTACCCCTTGAATTGCATTAACAAAGTAGGTCAAACAATGTGAGGCTAAGAAACATTTGTCTGCTGTGATTTCAGGCTTTACAGAATGTAGTCTCCTTGTATCAACCCAACATAGCAGAAGTCAACAACAAAGCACAAAATCTGCTGGGTGACCTTGATGAGGATGACAAGGTCAAGCTGGACAGTGCTCTTGAAGGTACTTGCATCAATACTTTTTACTCGCCTTCTTCAATTTGCCCTTATCTCATGGGAAATATGAGGCAGAATTGATTGTTATAGATTTTTTTTTTTGGGGGGGGGGTGTAAATTCGTTTATACATATATGCTGCTAGATTGTGTACTCCTTCCTCAATAAGCCTGGGAATGATCTTTGTGACATTAAAGAAGGTTTCCCCCCACTTCTGTTATAAAATGCACTACATGGTTTATTAGTGCTGATTGTGCTTCCTTATCAAACTTTGGTTCAAAACAATGCTATCCTTGTCTTTGCTATCTCCCAGGTCTGCAAGAAGGTAATGATAACCTTCAGGACAAGCTGACCACATGGCTGGTCAGACTGGAGAGTGCCCTACAGGACAGGGAGACCTTCCAGGCTGACCTGGACAGCTGTAGCCAGTGGTTGAAGCAAGCAGACATTGCAACCTTCCCAGAGGTCAAGCTTGATGCAGCCCTGCAGGAATTGGAAACCCAGCTAGATAAACATCAGGTAAAAAAAAGTGCAGTATTTTACAGTGTACTATGCAATTCTTGCAAGGTCCCTTGATTATTTGTGGAAAGGACTTCTATTGTAAAAAGTCAGTTGACCTCTCTGTACAGACAGAAAAAAAACACCTTCAAGCAAAAGCATCAATGACATCACTTGCCCTGCACAATTGGAAGACCACTAGAGATCATGTGCTTAAGTTGCTTTATCGAGCATATCCTCCTAATTATGATTGCTAAAGATGAGACCAGGTTTTCTCATTAACCTCGTCTACACCTTATGACCAGCATCAACTAGATCATCATCAGAAGAGCCAATGAGGAGAAGTTCATTAATGAAAAGCTTCAGCTTTGTTATATTCATCTTACCTCATCTTGCACATGCTTGAACAAGATTTTTTACTTTTAATCTCATTAATGTTGGCACATATCTAGTGGCACTCCTCTCTGACTCTCAATCTTTCTTTGCCTCTAATTCTACTGTATGAGTACTGTTAATACATATAGGTCAAATACACAATAAAGTCAATCAGTTATTGAAAGCTTACCTGACACATTTGCAAAGTATGTTCATATGTTCACCGTGTTATGCTTTTGGTGGGACAAGCAATACAAGTATCCATCACTTGGTGTAGTTTGCCAACTCCAGAACAGGTCACTTATCTTAATACTCTTGTGTGTTCATTGATATTTGTATTTCTGACAGCAACATAAATATGCTCCTAATACTGCTCTGTTGTTCCTCCAGCATATCAGCAAGGAGGCCGGCATGTATGATGAGATGCTAAACCGTCTGCAACAGCAAGGTGGTGCTATGGAGGCCCAGCTCAACCCACAGGATGCAACCATCCTCAGGGAGAAGCTAGTGGCTGTGGAGCAGCAGTTTAAGCGGTATGTTGGAAGACACCTGTAGTTGTATTTGTAAACCACATTCCACCCCATGACAATTGAATTTGTCTTGTTTGATACAATTTGATTAAGATAGTCAAAGGCAAATAGGTTGTTGCCAAGTTACCCTTTTGCCATTATTATTAAGACATTGCTGATAATATTAAATATTCTCCAGTATATTCTTTTATGGTAGTGGACATTCTAGTATGACAGGTAGGCTTATAACATATTCCACCAATGGTGTGACATCAAACACTTAGCAGTTCTTAGTAAGTGTTTCAGCACCAAGGACAGGCACATTACAGTTCTTAGTAATACTATTTCAGCACCAAAGGCCAGTCTGCAACATTTCTTACTAACAGTGTTTCAGTGCCAAGGACAGGTACCAAACAGTACACGGTACAGTGTTTCAGCACCAAGGGCAGGCACATAACAATTCTTACTAACAGTGTTTCAGCACCAAGGACAGGCACATAACCGTTCTTAGTCATGGTGTTTCAGCACCAAGGACAGGCACATAACCGTTCTTAGTCATGGTGTTTCAGCACCAAGGACAGGCACATAACAATTCTTAATAACAATGTTTCAGCACCAAGGACAGGAACATAACCGTTCTCAGAGTTCTGATTATGGATAAGCCAATAACACATGTTTATCATCTTTCTTCTTTCTATTTACATTTTACTATATACCTAAGTGGATGATTAGTAATCAATATTATGTGGGGCATAGTGGAAACAACCCCTCCTTCTACCAGCTGTTCCACTGACTGTGTAGTGATTGTTGTGCTCACTCGTGTGTTTGGTCTGTCCCTCTGTTGAGTATTTGAAAACTGTAAGAGCATGTTACTTATAGTTTTGAAACAGTGAATACTTCTTGGTCTACTTGTATAAGGATCACACAACAATGTTGTATGTTTTGAATCTGTGCTGTCCCACTGTGCATCATCAACTCTTTGGTATTTAGGTCAATGCTCTGCTGGTTAGCCTATATGAATCAACCCATGCTATCCATCACTTATATTGGCTTGTGCTTTGCTGCCATCTGGCTTCACATGGTAATATTATGTTACTTTGGTTAGCATAAATCATTATGGAGATTTGGCTTTCATTGCTTATTATTTGTCTAAACCTAATTATAATTGTATACATTATTTAAATTGGACAAATTAAAACCTTATCAAATGCTCAATGTAGATTAAGGTTAACTAGATTAGATTACACACAGTTTCAAAACATACAAAATATACACTTGACTTGAATTCTCAAGGAATCAATGCAATGTATGCATAGTTGAAAAGGTCATGGAATTATTGAACTTCATTGGACAATTTAACATTGGCAGAGATGTGTCCAAAGGGAGTTTATGTGAATAGTATTCTGTTCATTCATGCACTTGTAAGTCAGAAGGGCAGGATTATTTAAGAAATCAATTGTCCTGTTGTGTAGTTGGCTGGCCCCTTGGGGGAGGGCCAACTGTGATAACAATCTTGTGGATATAATCATCACCTCCAATGACAGATCAATATGGTCAGGCCAATATGGTGGCAGTGTTTATTGGTTCAATGCCTTTAGATTTTTAGTTTATTTTCATACAAGATAGAATTGGAAGCTGCTGATGAATTATGTTTCAAGACTTTGTTAAATTACAAAGTCAAGGTCAACTAAGAAAATGTAGATCTATCAACTCTGGCCTGAGTTTTAACCCAAAACTGTCTTGCAGTAGGCCCTTAATGCTAGTATAAGGAAAGCTAAGGTCAAAGATCAGTTGTTGATTATTCACAAAAGTGGACATGAGCCTCACCAGTGCAGAAGCCTTTGGTAATGATAAATCAAAGCCGAGGTAAAGCATGCCCCATGATGTGTGTAGATGTGGGGCCCACTGTGGCAGGCTTTCACACAGCATTTCCAGCATTTCAGTTAAGCTTCCTCTTACAGATTGACGAGACATTTTGTATAACACTGATGATGATAGTCTGATGAGGTAATTAAAGACACAGAGGTGGGCCTGGTAGTGAAGCTCACTGTGCTAATAAGAATGGATTAGTTCCCCCAAACCCCATCAAAGGGTGAACCAAATCAGGTTTCCGAGCCTTCCACGATCCATTATTCATGAGGAGGAGAAAATGGGATGCAGGAAGCAGTATGTAATATTTATTGGATCGATGGGAGTGTGAATGTATTGAAGTTAGTTTGCTTGGCAGTCGGCACACCTGCCCACCACCCCTCCCTGCCCTCCCCCACCCCACCATGGCATCGCTGCTGGACTGCCTCTGCTGCTCCAATGGTCTGCGATGCAGACATCAGGGAAGCCTGGAGTACTCTGACGGGAATGTGCCCACGGCTCTCAGTGCGTGAGTGATGGGGGTTTTCTAATAGCAGGCGATGAGATTACACTATTACAGCTGATCTGGATTTGCAGCATGTGACAGGGTTCACTACAACATCACATGGGAGGGTCACCTTGCCTGGTTATCTTGGCCAACGTTGACAGTGTTACTAATTTAAAGATGGGAGGACATTATGTATTCAGAATGCAAGACTTTGCTGCTGGCAGTGGGTAATGTTATATGATTGAGTCAGATTGACACTGGAGTTGATCAAAATGTAGATGCACCTGGAGAATTATTATTTACAAAATTTCACATTAAACATAAAAATACAAAAGACAGTTTTTTTGTTTGAATTGTTTCCTAAAATGTGTTGGATCTATATAAAATCTCTTGAATAAAACCTGTAGTGAGTGCATGCACATGCTACTGCAGTCAGGCATGTCTGGGCCATATGTTCAGGTTGCCATGCGGAAGTAAGCTCAGTTGCTACTAATAAAATATTGTGTTGTGAAATCTGATCTTATGGTAATTGCGTTATATTCCAATTGTCTTAAATCATATCCTAGCAGGAGCACACAAGGCATGCCATCACATGATTCCACATCAATTATGACAAAACTATTACTTTTGAATTCCTAAAAAGACTATGGCAAATTTTCCATGATTTCTGTTTTTATGACTTATGATTATTAATCCATATTGAATCTATGGCACAGTTTACCTTCACACAAACTGGCAGTTTTATTTGTTGAAGATGGGAGAATTCACACCCTGCCAAGGACCCAGTCAAGATTGATGACAGATTAAAGCACTCTGTAGGGGAGGGGAAGTCATTGACTAGAATACTGTAAATCCAAATATTTGTCAGGTAGCATGATTTATTATGGTGTAAGGCCAGAGGCTGAAGCACCATCATATAACTGGGCCTCATTTTTATTATCAAGGTCTACATGAATCACTATTGTAATTGTAACTTTTCAAAATTATTGCTGCTTCTTTCTGACACAAAATGGAATTGTGCAACACAAATGAAGGTTTACAGTATGCAGGTGCGCTCAAAATGACATCCTTGTCATATAATATTGGGACACAATATAGACAAATATGGCATAGGGACAAGCTGTGGTGTCTAGAGTAAAAAGAATGGTTTGATATAGTTACCCTTAACCCTATTTACATGTATGTTGCTCCTGAATGTCATTGCACATCAACGGGCTGATTGGAAAATCAATGTCATTTCCAACTGTGTATCTGATATTTTCACAAACACATGCTTGTCAACTACATTAACTGCCTAGTATAAGAATTCATCATCAAAATGTTAGATGAGGAAATATGCAGATGAACTTGGCAATAACTTAATCATCTTGCACTGGATGATCATGGAACATTTCATCTTATGTGATATGTGACATTTTCAACCCTAGAAATCAGCCTAACTGGATCAAGTACCAAAAGAATAAATTGAAATTATAATTCCACCTAAAATGTAATAATTACTGACCCAAATTCTAGCGTGAAGTATGCCATTGTCATCATCAAGGCAGCCAGCATTAAGAGGTCAAAGCAAACAATGTTTCTTCCTGTTGCCACTGTACACGGAGAACAATATTTTAAATCTCCCATGGGACAATGTCAAATGAGGGTTTGCTAATGGAGGCTATCCTGTGAGTGCCCACGTGATAAAAGTAAACGTTACTGTAACTCCTAAAATATGAACAGCTTAGATATTCACATAGATTGCGTCTTAGATGCATAAACAGGTTTATTCATGATATAAAGTACAGGCACTGGTCCTTGCGGGCTAAGCTGTGCCCCAAAACAGGTTTTGTGATATCTTTCAGAGTTCATTACAAGCTGCTGCTATTGCAAAATTTGTTCAATATGCTGTACGGAAATCAGTATAGAAATTTGAGAAAACTAGTGTGACCAGACAGCTTGACATTAGATAGTACCATTTGGGCTTGTAAGATTGTCTAAATGATGTATTCAAGTAGAGATAGTTAATTATTACCAACTCCTATTCACGGATTGAAGTTAGTGCCATGTATTCCTTGCATGTGTTCAGAATTTCTGGCAGAACGTGCGATTGTTAGACAGGGAGAGAAACGGTGGGCAGGAAGATGTGATTAAATTGAGCCTGACTACGTATTCTTAGAACTGCATGAAATTTCACTGGTTGGAGGCCCTCAGAAGCTGTTGGCTTCAACAGAGGCAAATGCAGAGGAATGTTTTGCTGGAAAAAAGCGAGGTAAGGTCACCAAGGTGACATTGTGCCTAGAGCTCCATGCATGCCTACATAGCACATACATTTTGCAGTATCCTTGTCCCAGTGGGTCCTGCAGGTGTCATGTATGTATAGGACATATTTGGCTATTGTATTAGCGATGGTTGATGACATTGTGGATCCAAACTATTGTAAAACATTATCCCTGTTTTGTTATATTGCTTGTCAACAATAGCATTTGTTCCTACACTGTTGATTGTACCCAAGTTATCTTACAATGAGAAAATTTTTGCCAGAGGTAATTCTTTTAAAATATCATTTTTATGATGGCACGAAGAGCCTTGAAGATGGTGAAGTGCCTTGCTTGGGAAATTCCAGGATATGTCTCAGTTCATAGATATCATTATTCAAATGCAACCAGCTACAGAATGTGATGGCTTTATGTGGCTTCTTGTAGCAATCA